TAACTTTTATTTCACATTACATGCAGGCTTTGCTTAGTGTAATATTATCAGGGAAAGAGAAAAAATAAGTTAATACATAAGGAAGAAATAAAAATAGTACACTGTTCAGATAATATACATAAGTATAAAACAGATTGACACTATGGCTAAATACAAAATTAATATGTAAACTCTTCTCCCTACTTCTTAGTCATGAGATTTTTAAAAATATTAAGTGAAGGAATTTACAAAACTATAAGTAGGAAATACACAAGTGGACTTTTTTATTTTTGTTTTTCTGTCAGTCATAGGGCTTGAACTCCAGGTTTGGGTGCTGTCCTTGAGCTGTTGAACAAAGCTAGTGTTCTATTATTTGAGCTACAATGCACTTCTGGTTTCTGGTGGCTAATTGGAAATGAAAGTCTCATTGACTTTTCTGCCTGGGCTGACTTTGAGCCACGATGCTCAGATTTCAGCCTTCTGAGTAGTGTGATTACATGTTTGAGCCACCAATGCTTGGCAAGTGAACATTTTTTTTTCTTTTTTTGGGTCCGGTCGTGGGGCTTGAACTCTGGGCCTGGGCGCTGTCCCTCAGTTCTTCAGCTCAAGGCTAGAGCTCTACCACTTGAGCCACAGCGCCACTTCCAGTTTTTTTTCTTTTTGCTTATGAGGCTGAGGAATCGAACCCAGGGCCTCAGGCATGCAAGGCAAGTGCTCTACCACTGAGCCACCTTCCCAGCCCGCAAGTGAACATTTTTAAAGATACAAAAATAATTTCAGGGCTGGAAATGTAATTCAGTGGTAGAGCATCAGCCTAGCATGCACAAGCCCCGGGGTTAGATTCATCCCCCCACCCCCACAACCAAGAAATGCAGGAAAAAAGCTTCAAATATCATAAATTTTTGTTTTTGTTTTTGTTTGTTTGCCGGTCCTGGGCTTGAATTTGGGGCCTGGGCTCTGTCCCTGAGCTTCTCTTTGCTCAAGGCTAGCACTCTACCACTTGAGCCACAGTGCCACTTTCAGCTTTTTGTGTTTATGTGGTGCTGAGGAATTGAACCCAGGGCTTCATGCATGCTAGGCAAGCACTCTACCACTAAGCCACATTCCCAACCCAAGTATCAGAAATTTTTAAAGGTTGGATTCTGGCCTTTTGAAAAATCACAGAGGCAATAGTTCTGTTTAAGGACAGCATCATTCAGGACAATGCTGCCCTAAAGCTGGCCAGTAGTCTGGTAGAAGCACCAACACCAACAACTGGTAGAAGCCATTTAGGTTGCAAATTCTGAAGGTACAACTCTGAGCTATGGAATGACAACAAGTCTCAAAAGGATTCTTTTGTGCACTGAAATTAGAAAACACTGGTTTAGGCCATCATTTGTCAAACTGAAGATTATAATCCATTACTGAGCTGTGAAACCAATGCAGTGGACATTTTGACATGAAGTAGAATAAAGAAGGGGAGGCATCCATGTAGGAGAGGTATCAGCTCGTAAATCCTGCTTCCTGTTTGTACGGGTGTTTGGACTTGTGTTCATTTGGATAAAGTGCACTTTTAATTTTTGAAGAATTGATAGGGTTTAGTGAAAAACTATACATTTTAAGTGAAGTCAGAATTTGACAACAAAACAGTTGTTTTCATAGGATTTGGATGTGAAGATGAGAGGGCCAAGGAAAGAACAGAGAAAGCCAACATTTCACACCTCTAGAATCTTTGTGGAGAAAGGAACAAAAAGGTTCATTGGGAGAGGAGATGGAAGGGACACATTACAAGGCAGATGATAAGAATAGAAGTTCATGAGCCACCTATAATGAGCCATCAATCAGGAAGTGGCAAGCAAGAAGTCTAACAATAATAACCACATGTTCAGAGTTATGCAAGGATTATCATAAAGCACAGCACTGGGGGCTGGGAAGGTGGCTCAGTAGTAGAGCGCTTGCCTTGCATGCTCGAGGCCCTGGGTTCAATTCCTCAGCACCACAAAAGCAAAAAGAAAAAAGCCAGAAGTGGCACTGTGGCTCAAGTGGTAGAGCGCTAGCCTTGAGCTGAAGAGCTGAGGGACAGCACCCAGGCCCAGAGTTCAGGCCTCACTACCGGACCGCCCCCCCCCCCCAAAAAAAAAAAGCACAGCACTGAAATATTGAAGTACACCATCAGTATTGGGGAGTGGGGTGAAGATGGAGTAGAGGCTCCACTTTTTTTTTTTTTGGTCGGCCGTGGGGCTTGAACTCTGGGCCTGGGCGCTGTCCCTCAGCTCTTCAGCTCCTGGGGCTTGAACTCTGGGCCTGGGCGCTGTCCCTCAGCTCTTCAGCTCAAGGCGAGCGCTCTACCATTTGAGCTACAGCACCACTTCCGGTTTTCTGGTGGTTTATTGGAGATAGGAGTCTCACAGTCTCTCCTGCCCGGGCTGGCTTTGAACCACAATCCTCAGATCTCAGCCTCCTGAGTAGCTAGGATTACAGGCGTGAGCCACCAGCGCCCGGCCTAAACATGTTCTATAAAAAGCTTTGTGTATTTGTGTATTGTACAAATATATATACCACACATATTATATATATTGTATAGGTATGGATATACAATATATATTTTTATTCTCAATTCCCTCTTCCTCTCCTCTCCCTTTCTCTCTTCTCCTTTCCCCTTCTCCCTTCCCCCTTCTCCCTTCTGGCTATGGAGTCTACTTACTTGCCCAAGTGATCCTCCCACCTCACTAGTAACTGGCTTACTACAACTACATCTCCTCCCCCACCATTCATTTCTATAGTTTGTACAAAAACATCACTTGCTGTTATTTTCCAGGCCTTTTCAAGATGGGTCAGAGTGGGCTGTTCTCTGCATTCTAAATTATGCTTGTGCCAAGATACTTTCCTTAGGAATTCACTGAGAATTTAGTTAAATTTCATTGAGGGAGCCTACAGGATTGTCAAGTTGCATGTGCTCTAGGGATTAATATAAACATTCCAAGTAAAGGAAATAAGATCCAAAAAGGTAGACTAATTATACACAGAGATTGATGTTAAGCCTAAAGATCAGGTCTCAGATCAAGTGAACTTTTCTTTGCCCCTCAAATTTTTGAGTTAGGCTGGATAATCCATTATTCTTTCGATATTTTCTCCTTTCTTTCTTTCTTTCTTTCTTTCTTTCTTTCTTTCTTTCTTTCTTTCTTTCTTTCTTTCTTTCTTTCTTTCTCCTTCTTTCTCTTTCTTTCTTTCTTTCCTTCCTTCCTTCCTTTCTTTCTTTCTTTCTCTCTCTCTCTCTGCTTCCTTTGTTCCTTCCTTCTTTCCCTCCCTCCCTCCCTCCCTCCCTTCCCTTCCTTCCTTCTTGTCATGGGGTTTGAACTCTGGGCTTGGGCACTGTCCCTACACTCTTCAGCTTAAGGTGAGTGCTGTACCGTTTGAGGCACAGCACCACTTCCGGTTTTCTAGTAGTTTCCTGCCTGGGTTGGCTTTGAACCGCGATCAGATCCCAGCCTCCTGAATAGCTAGTATTACAGGTGTGAGCCACAGGCGACCGGGTTGATATTTATTTTCTATTGGATAAATATAATTCGGATCAATTTGGCTTCAAGGTTTCAGCCATCTTAGCTGAGTGCACGCTTGTGTGTGTGTGTGTGTCCCCATCCTGGGGATTGAACTCAGCTCCACTTTTGGCTTTTTGTTGTTGTCATTATAAAGGTGATGTTCAGAGGGGTTACAGTTATGTAAGTCGGGTAAAGAGTACATTTCTTTTTGGACAATGTCACTTCTGGCTTTTTGGTGATAATTGGAGATAACAGTCTCACGGATTTTCTTGCCCGGGTTGGTTCTGAACCAGGATCACCAGATCTAAGCCTCTTAACTGGTAGGATTACAGTCCCCGGCGCCTGGGCTGGTGCTGTCCTTTATCCAAGGCATTGCAGAATTTTTTTTTTAATCGCCGAGTGCCAACAACGACCACGACGAGTACGTCGCAACCTGATAACCCTAAGCCAGGAAAAAGTGAAGTGACAAACCTTTTACGTCTCAAGGCCACGTGTGAAAGGAGGGGCTGGTTTCTGATTGGTGCCGCTAGGAACGCTGTCATTCCAATCAACGCAGTAGAGGAAGGAATAAGCTCTGGCAAGGCAGAGCTACCGACCTGTCCATCAACGAGCCAGAGTAGTTGCACCTACCACGCCGCAGTACCTGGGATGGGTGGTACTGCGTTGGGTGGGGGCGGGGCATAGGAGCAGGAGCCAATCCAAGGGAGGCCCAGAAGGAGGGGGGGGGACTGTCCACGGAAGGGGGCGGGACCCGAGGAGCGGAAGCCAATCTAAAGGGCAGTGTTAGGGGAGGGGGCGGGGAATTAGTGACGGGAGCCAATCCACAGGGCGGTGCACGGGAAGAGGGCGGGACTTCACGAGAAGGGGGCGGGCCCCCGTGCCCGACCCAAACATACCGACCCCGGCGCACTCGGTTGTGCCGCCGCTCCCGGCCTTCCGGTTCGAGGCCCCCCCCATCGCCCCTCCTCCGCGCAACTGAGCTCGGCGACGGTTGCCGGGAAGCGCGCGCTGTCTCTCCGAGTCCTCTTTCTCCGTTTCTAACAGCCGGTGGCTCGGGGAGGAGGGAAGGCGGCCCCGGCGGAGTCCGGGCGGGCGCCTCCCACTCACCCGCGAGCCGCCGAGGGAGCCTGAGGATGGCGGCGGTGGCAGCGACCGCCCGGGAGGAGGCGGTGCCGAGGCCCGGGGCGCCCAGCGCGGCGGCGGCGGCAGAGAGCGGCAGCGGCCCGTCGCGGCGCCCCAGAACCGGAACGAGCGGCCGCCGCGCCGCCACCTGAGCCGACCGCCACCAGAGCGGCCTCCGCGTACGGGCAAGCGGCGCCCGCAGCCCGGCCTCCTTCCTGCGCCCCGTCCTGTCCGGTCCCCCGGAGCCCGCGGCCTCCCGGAGCCCGCCAGGCCGCCTCCCGCCACCGGCGCGAGCCGGGCGCCCACCGCTCTCGGACGCCGGCGGCCTGGACGTGCGGGGCCCCTGTGGGCCGGCCGCGGCGCCTCGGCCCTGCCCTCCTCTCCCTCCCTCGTCTCGCGGCGCCCGGGGCGCGGTGCGCGGGCCCGGCCCGGGGCTGGGCGGACATGGGCGCGAAGCAGAGCGGCCCGGCAGCCGCCAACAGCCGCACCCGCGCCTACTCGGGCTCGGATCTTCCTTCCAGCAGTGGTGGAGGAGCTGACGGGGCCGCCGGCGGCGCCGGCGGGGCTCGGGCCGGGGCCGCGGGCAGGTTTCCGGCCCCAGAGTCAGGCGCGCACCCCTCAGGCGCTTCGGGCGGCGCGGCGGCGGCGGCCCCGCGGAGTCGCTCCCTCGGCGGGGCAGCGGGTAGCGGGGCTGCGGGAGCCCGCGCCGCGCACTCCTCGGTGAGCATCCCCGGCGGCGGCGGCGGCCCCTACGGTTCGCAGGACTCGGTGCACAGCAGCCCGGAGGACCGGCCGCCGGGTGGGGGCCCCGGCGGGCCGCGCCTGGTGATCGGCTCCCTCCCAGCGCACCTCTCACCGCACATGTTTGGAGGTACGGCCCCTCCCCGCACGTGGCCCCTGGCGCCCGTTTATTTCTACCGGTCTTTGGCCGGCGGAACCCGGCCCGAGCGGGGCGCGTGTCCCCCCGCGCTGCCGCCAGCGCCCCACGGCAGGCGCTCGGTCCGGGCGGACATGGAGCCCGCGTGGGGTCTCAGCCGCCGTGGGAGCCGGGAGACAAGGGCTCCTTTAGGTGCTTTGTCAGGGACTGGGCGGCGAGCTGCTGTAGAGGACAGGACAGGAGTTAAAGGGACTCCGGTGGACCCTGAACACTTCATTTTAACACGTAGCTGTAGTTGAAAAGTGTTAGCCAGCATGCTCACCTCCCCGAGTCCACTCTTGGAGGGTGTGTTAAAATGTTTTAGCCCCGGTGAGCTGCTTTATATAATAGTTATGTCACTCCTGCTTACTTTGGACCACTCCTCTGCTTACAAGGTGAAGTGAGTGACCTGGTTCTTTTGAAGAGCAGTGTTGACGGAAGTAACGAAAAGTGGATTTTTTTTTTTTTTAGTAAGAAATGATGTGTTTTTAGGTAGAAACAAGGAAAATGACCTCGACCTCAGTGTCTCAAGGTGTATGAAACCATCTTTCTCTGAGAGAAATAGACTTATGGAGGATGAACATTCCACTCTTGCATTGTGTATTTGGGTAGCAGATAACACTCGCAACCGAGCACAGAAAGAGAAAAACATCCTTCCATTTTAACGGCCCTTTTTTTCATGTATTTATAAATTTAAGGACTTTGAGTAAGTTGGCAAAGTGGAGTATTCAAAATGGAATTTTGTTCTGATGTTCTATCTTATCAGTTCATACTGGTGTAAGTTTGTTGCATTTAGTTTTTCTCATCTTTTTAATGCTGTTTTGCACATTCTGTAGGGGAGGCACATCAGCTTTAGCTGCCTTATTTTAATGGCTTGTTTTATAGTAATCTTTGCTATATAAATAAAAATATGGACGTTTCCTAAAATTGAGTATCTTTTAAAAATCTGTTTTTGAGGAAAAATCTAGGATACCTTTTTCTGTGATTTGATCACAACACAGTTGAAGATGCTGTGAAATGGTTGCCAAAGAACATTTAAGATTTGGTGCAAGAATAAGTGGTTTTTAAAATACTATCTAAAAAGTTTTCCTTTATCAGTTATGATCATGAGAAGTAGGACTATGTAGAAGTTGCTAGAGGGGATAGAAAAAAGCTTTGCTAAATTAACAGTTAATGTTTATTACTTTTTAAATATTTGTATTGTTATTACAAAAGTGATGTAGAGCGAGGTTGTAATGATATAAGTCAGGCAAAAAGTGCATTTCTTTTTAGACAATGTCACCCCTTCCCTTGCAATCCCACCCACAAGTAGTATTTTCAACATGATGTCCAGTGAGTACCACTGCTGCATTTACTATTATTTACTATTATTATTTTTGTTTTTATAAAGGTAGTGTACAGAGAGGTCATAGTACTATTTTTTTTGGGGGGGGGGGCGGTCGAGGGGCCTGAACTTTGGGCCTGGACGCTGTCCCTCAGCTCTTCAGCTCAAGGCTAGCGCTCTACCACTTGAGCCACAGGGCCACTTCCAGCTTTTTTCTTTTTTCTTATGTGGTGCTGAGGAATTGAACCCACGGCCTCAGACATGCAAGGCAAGCGCTCTACCACTGAGCCACCTTCCCAGCCCCAATACTATATTTTTTTTTGGGGGGGTGGGGGGTCCAGTTGTGGGGCCTGAACTCTGAGCCTGGGCACTGTCCCTCAACTCTTCAGCTCAAGGCTGGCGCTCTACCACTTGAGCCACAGCGCCACTTCCAGCTTTTTTTTTGCTTAGGTGGGGTTGAGGCATCGAACCCAGGGCCTCATGCATGCAAGGCAAGCGCTCTACCACTGAGCCACCTTCCCAGCTCCCTATTTTTTTTTTTTAAGGGCTGATAATTCTCTTCCACAAGAGTCAGTATATTCGTATGGCTTTACTTTGTTAAAAGCAAATACACCCTGTCTAAACTAGAGGCAAACAGTTGATATTCATATTAATCATATAGTAAATGAGCAAGTGACAGTTGCTGGAACATGTCTCTGTAGAGAATAGAGCATTGTTGTCTTAAGTTCATATGTGCCACGAAATTTAGCTTTTCCTCTGTTGTATTTAGAATAAATCCAGTTTTGTCTCAAGAAAACATTCACTGATTTATGTAAGAAACTTTCATTAACAAAGACTAGACAAAGATGAGAACAATTACCTGTTCTTCCCTGAGAGAATTAGAGTAAAGTGACATGACTTCAAATCCTTGTTGAGACAGAGACATGGAATAGAACTGAGTAAAAACTTACCTCTTAGTAACATTGCCTTAATGAGATTTGACCTTTTATTTCAGTGGATGGATTTTTCAGGAATACAGTAAATGTTAATCATCATTTTGAGACTTAGGGAGCTAGATGATGGATCTTATTTTAAAAGTTAGATTTGATTACACTTCACTTCAGCCTCATTTTTATTATGTATTGCAATATTAATACATTTATTTAGTTGTACAAATAAGCACATGTAATGGTCTAAATCTGAAAGTTGAGAAAATGAGTATTTCTGAATTGGTGGGACATTCCTAAGGTGATTTTATAAAACCGTTATTACTGTTTCCTAGTAAGATTAAAAAGTGTTCTTTGTAGGCTGTCATGTAGGTTGTAGAAAATGAAGACCTACACAGTACTACTTTTTTGTTTTTTTTGTTTTTGGTCCATCTTGGGGCTTGGGCTTTCAGGGCCTGAGCTCTTTCACTCAATGCTAGTTCTTTACCACTTTGAGCTACAGCCCCACTTGTAGCAGTTAATTGAAGATAAGATTCTCATGGCCTTTCATGTCCTGGCTGGCTTTGAACCATGATCCTCAGATCTCAGCCTCTTTAGGATTACACCAGCACCCAGCCTGTATACAGTCTTGTAGAGAATTGGAAGAGAGACGCCTAATTGAGATATTTCAGTTTGAACAGACTTTCTGGGCATCAGAATATGATTAGAATTTTAATAGGCATTTTAGATGAAGTAGGTCTTCAGGGTTTTGTTACTCTTTCCAGACTAGAGAAGCCTTGTTAACTGAACAGAAGCCTTGTTGTGATTACTCCTCATACTATCCATCAGCTTTGTTTAAAAACTTATCTTTATTTTTATTAGCATACATTAGTCTTCCCAGAGGGTTTCTTGCAACGTTTCCACACATGTATAGAATCCCAAACAACCTCACCTAGGCTCTGTCATTGTCCCTTATCTCTTGCTCCCTTCTTAAAAAAGTATTTCAGCAGGTAAAACTGGTATTTAAATGTATAGTCTAGTATTTAAGTCTTAATGTGATATCTTAGAATTTGCTTAGCTTTGTGTTTATTTTCTTCCACTGTTAATGTTTATAAAAGTAGTGGATGGGAGTAGCAAAATCCTTCATGATGCAGCAAGGATGAGCTAAATTAAACTAAAAGTATGCCAATGTTAATGGAGATTATTTCTAGAAAAACTGTGTGGACTTGTGTAATAAATCTGGGAGTCTGGTAGTCAAAGTGTAAAGTGAATTATTTTAAGATAGCCTATAGTAATACGCTGCTTTTGGCTCCAAATTGTTTTGAGTTTGCTTAGGTGATTTGTCCATGAGATTTCAGTAGTTGAATTGTAATTCAGGTGCTTCTTGTAACTAATTATATGTGTTTCTAGGAAAATTTATTCTATCAATTTTAAGCACAGATGTGAGGTTTTCTGGCTTAGATGATCTCAATCATTACTGAACTGTGTTTAGTCATTACTTTTTCTATCAAGTGCCAAAACATGGGGTATTATAATTTGCTCTACTCCCAGATGCTTTTTATTTGATTGGAGGGTTTGAGGAGGAGTTCAGTGGCAGAAGAGATTTACATCATTGTTTAAATATTCCTAAGCACTATTACTTAACTGAACTGTAAGCCTTTTAATTTTGCGTGTACTTAACTAGTTTTGCATTTATATATTTAGAAGTTGAAGAAAACATAACCCTTTGTGTGAACAAAGGGTTCTGAAATATTTTTAGCTCTATACTGCTCATTAACAAATGGCTAGAAATTTAATTTACTTAAAGGAGCACACATTTGTTTGTATCTTGGGGTCAGGAGGATGGGAAACAGCATAGATAGGTTCTTTGTGAAACTATAAGGTGTTAGACAGGGTTACTGCATCATTTTCTAGAGACTCATTCAGCTGGGGAAGAATCTGCCTCCAAACTCTCAGGTTGTTTGGAAGAATTATTTCCTTGTGATGTGGTGCTTAGGTTAATAGCAGCTTTTAAGCCAGCAAAAGCAAGACTAGCAACATGGGCCTAAGCCCGTGTTATGTGATGGTTAAACCCAGCACTTTGCCTATTCTGTATTTCATTTGTTAGAAACACTTCAGATCCTAGTTCACACTCAAGGGAGAGAATATTGGCAAGATTAAAATATTAGTTCACCCTGAAGTTTAGTTAGTAAATAATTGTAATTTAAACAAAATGCTTAATGAAAACAAGCAGGCAACAGTGACTCACACCTGTAATCTTACTTATTGGGAGGCTAATGGAGGCTAGGGTCTAAATCACAGTTCAGAGCCTGCCTAGGCAGAAGTCTGAGAAATTCTTACCTCCCGATAACTACCAAAAAGCCAAAAGTGTAGGTGTGGCTCAAGTGGTTAGCTACAGTTTTGAGCAGAAAAGCTCAGAGACAGCACCCAGGCCTTGAGTTCAAATCCCAGTACTAGCATGCTCATACACTGTTTAGTGAAATATTTCCACTGTTAGGCTGTTTCATGGAGGAAATGACATTTGAACTATGTTGAAATGTTGAGAATTTTTAGAAGGGTAGGTAGAACACCCTTCAGAAAACTCCACAAAAGCCTAGGATCTTGATATTGTATACTACAAAGTTAAATATGTCTAGGTTGTTGGGTACATGGGGAAGTGATGTGCACTTAGAAAACTGGGTCAGATATTGAAGGGTTATATAGAGTTCAGCGTTTTATGCAGCTGT